AATGCCACACTGTGTTTATTCATTCCTTCATCAACAGACACTTGGGTTGCTTACACATTTTAGCTAATGTGAATACTGCTGAATTAGTATACAGATATGTCTTCAAGACGCTCCTTTCAATACTTTTGGGTACAGACCCAGAAGTAGAATTACTGGATCCCATGGTAATTGTATTTTTAATTTTTTGATAAACTCTCATAAGTGTTTTTCCATAGTGGCCATATGATAACATTATGATAAACAGTGCAGAGGGGTTTCAGTTATGCTGCAGCTTTGCCAATGCTGTCATTTTCACTTTTTAAATTTTATTTTTGATACTAGCATCCTAATAAGTGTGAGGTAGTATCTCATTAGTAGTTTTGATTTGTATTTCTCTAATGATTAGTGATGCTGAGCATCTTTTCATGTGTTTATTGGCGATTTATATATCTCCTTTGAAGACATGTACATTCACATCCTTTGCCACTGTGTGAATCAACGTGTTTCTGGTAAATTTTTCTCTAGTTTTAGAAATTGTCTATATGTTGTGAATATTAATCCCTTATCAGATATATGATTTGCAAATATCTTCTTCCATTCTGTGGGTTACCTTTTTACTCTACTGATAATGCTTTTTTGTACAACATATTAGAAATTTTGTAAAATCCGATTTATTTTTGTAGTTGCCTGTGCCTTTAATATACATCCAATAAATCATCACCAAATGCATTATTGTCAAGTACTGTCCTATGCTTTCTTCTAAGAGTTTTACAGTTTAAAATTTTACACTTAGGGTTTGATCCATTTTGAGTTAGTTTTTTTTATTGTATAAGAGCCCAACTTTATTCCTCTGTATGTGAGCATCCAGTTTTCCCAGAACCACTGTTGAAGAGACTATCCTCGACCCATTGATTGGTATTGGCATACTTGCCAAAGACCATTTGACTGTATACACAATAGTTTATTTCTGGTATCTCTATTCCATTTCATTTTATTGGTCTATATGTCTAACTTCATGCCAGTACCACGCTTTGAGATCAGGGAATGTGAGTCTTCCAACTGTTTCCGTCTTCTTTTGAGATTTTTTTGGCTGTTTGTAGTCCTTTGGGATGCCACATGAATTTTAGAATATGTTTTTCTTGTTCCCCCCACCCCAAATTCATGGGATCTGGATAGGAATTGCATTGAATCTGTAAATTGCTTTGGTAATATTGATTTCTTAACAAAGTCAAATCTTTCAATCCATGAACATAAAATGTGTTTCCATTTATTTATGTCTCTTTAAATTTGTTTTAACAATTTTTTTCCTTTTTTTTTTGTTCTGGTTTTTGGTTCTCTTTGTTATTATTTTTTGGTTTTCATTGTACCTGTCTTTCATTTACTGGGTTAAATGATTCTTTGTAATGCTATTGTAAATGAAGTTCTTTTCTTAATTTTGGGGAGTTGTTTATCGTTAAGCTCTAAAAATGCTACTGACTTCTGTGTGTTGACATAGTATCCTACTACTTTTCTGAATTCATTTATTTGTTATAACAATGTTTTGTTAAATATTTATGGTTTTCTAAGTATTAGGCTTTATCATGTGCAAGTGAAGATAATTTTATCCTTTTCAATTTGCTGCCTTTTTTTTTTCCCCATAATTTATCTGACTGGAACTTCCTGTATTATCATGAATAGAAGTGACAACATGAAGGTGTATTTTCCTTGCTCCTTATCTTACAAAAAAAGCTCCCAGTCTTTCACCATTGAGAATGGTGTTGACTGTGAGTTTTTCACAAATGGCTTTTATTATGCTGAGATAGTTTTCTTCCATTCCCAGTTTGTTGAGTATTTAACACTCATGAAAGGATGTTAGATTTTGTCAAATGCTTTTTCTGCATCGATTGAGATGGTCATGGTTTTTGTTTTCTTCAGTCTGCTAATGTGGTGTATTACATTAGTTAATTTTCCTATATTGCATCTTCCTTGCATTTCAGAAATAAACCCCACTGGGTTATGTTATATAATCCTGTATGCTGCTGAATTTGGTTTTCTAATGTTTTGTTGGGAGTTTTGCATCTATGTTCATAGGTATATTGGTATATAGTTTTCTTTGCTTGTATTTTCTTTGGCTTTGGCATCTGGATAATACTGAACATAGCATAGGTCAGGATGTGTTCTGTTTTTCTTTTTCTTTTTTTTTTTTGAAAAACTTTGAGAAGGATTGGTGTTATGTTTTTCTTTAAATGTTTGGTAGAATTCATCAGGGAAGCCTGGGCTTTTTTTCCTTGGGAGATTTTTGAGTACTGATTCAATCTTCTCACCAGTGTGAATCTTTACAGATTTTATATTTCTTCATGATTTCATCTTGGTAGGTTTTTTGTTACTAGGAATTTGTTCATTTCATCTAGGTTATTCAATCTGCTGGTGTACGTGTTTATAGGTCTCTCTTATAATCCTTTTATTTATGTAGAATTAATAATAATGCATTTCATCTCTGATTTTGGTATTAATAATTTGAGTCTTCGTCTTTTTGCTTAGTTCATCTGAACTAAAGTTTTGCCATTTTTTATATTTTTTCAAAGAAGAAAATTTTGTTTTACTGATTTTTTCATATTGTTTATTCATATTTCATTCATCTGTGCTCTAGTCTTTGTTATTTCCTTTCTTCTACTTGCTTTGGGTTTAGTTTGATCTTCTTTTCATAGTTCCTTACGATGTAAAATTAGGTTGTTGATTTGAGATCTTTCTTATCTTTTAATGTAAGCACTTATCGCTATAGAATATCTCTTCCAATGTGTTCCATATATTTTGGTGTATTTTCTTTTCATTACTCTTTAAGGACGCTGCCCCAAAACAGCAGAGTTGAATTATTGTGTCAGAGACCTTTTTGCTCTCAAAGCTAAAAGCACTTATGTATGAACAATAATGGAAACATTTCCCCTAGAAGATTTCCACTTTATGAAATGTATGAGGCAGTTATGTTGTTTCTAATCCTTAATATCACTTGTGTTTATTATTAGAGGCAAGCTAAGTTACGTAAACACCTAAGAAACTGATGACACGTGAGTGCAACAACAAAAGCTGATACTATTTGAACAGATTGAGTTCGGATTTAGAAAAACAAGCAATTATCTAAAATGTTGATATTAAATTGGTTTAAAATCATGTTAAAAAGCTAGGATTTTAAGATTTTTTTACAACTTCCTCCATTTTCACTCCATACTATAGGTAGAAGCTGGAAATTGTAAACAATGCATTACAGATATAATTCGTTGGCACACACAAGAATGATATGGAACCCAATCAGTAGACCTGTATTAAATGAACAAGCCTTGGCCTCTGATTAACAGTTGCCTGGGCCAATGTTTAATGTCGAAATATGGTTGGTTTACGCATTAGAGGAAGTTTATTGAGCACTAATAAGATAAAATTATCCATGTTATTACCTGTGCTCAACAATAAAATTTGAAGGTGATTAATCTGCATTGAATATTGAAATATATATAAACGAGAAGTTCTTTCCTTCCTAAATAATAAAATAAAAATCAGAGCAGAATAAAAAAATTAAAAATTATAAATCATAGTAGCCACTGGAAGCAATGCTGAACTCACAAATTATAGATCTTTTTCTTTTTCTTTTTGTATTTTTATAGTCATCAGAAAAATCACTAAATCTTAAGGCTTTTGAAACCTTTTATGGTTTATCTTTACCAATTTTCTGTCCTTATAAAAACAAGAATGTGCCGAGTGTAGGTTATTCAACAATAGTTGTATCAGTCCATTTTCACATTGCTATAAAGAACTGCCGAGACTAGAAAGGAAAGAGGTTTAATTTACTCACAGTTCAGCATGGCTGAGGAGGCCTCAGGAAACTTAAAATCATGGTAGAAGGTGAAGGGGAACCAAGGCACCTTCTTCACAAGGCAGCAGGAAGGAGAATTGCCAGACAAAGAGGGTAAAGCTTTTTATAAAGCCATCAGGTTTTGTGAGAAGTCACTCACTAGCATGAGAACATCTTGGGTGAAACCACCCCCATGACACAATTACCTTGACCCCGTCTCTCCCTTAACATGTGGGGATTATGAGGATTTATAATTCAAGATGAGATTTGGGTGGGTACATAAAGCCTAACCATATCACTAGTCCTAGACTTACACATTGTATAAAACACTTGAAGAAAAAATAATTTCAATAAATATTTATTTATAAATAGCACTTTTTTTGCTTGTGAAGAAATAAAAGTTACTTATTTATCATAAAATATAGCTGTTGATTCAGCTAGTTCAGGAAGCTCTGGAAATGTTGAAAAAGGTGATATAAGTATGAATGCCTGAGGTACGTATTTTTTAAATTAAGAGACATTAAAAAATCATCAAGTTACAAAATTTATTTACTTTTGTTACATTAGTGGAGAATAAAATTCAAATAAATTTGCTAAAGCTTATATAAAACTTGGGCTGAGGTTGAAAACTACAGAAAATTCTGCACTACAAAGAGATAATCAGGAATGTAATGTTACTAATCTCTCACACACTGAAAGTTCCGTTTACAGAAATATGACATACAACAATGGATTGGTCATACTTTTTTTCCTAAAATTAAGAATGAAGTTGGAATCATGTAGTTTGTGACAGAAACAAACAAATCAAAGTGTGGAAAGGAATAAGAAGAGGAGGAAGTAAAAAGAGGTTGAGGAGAGACCAAATAAGATAAAATATTTATAAATTAGGAGCTGGAGACAGTCTAGATATCATTTTGTTTTCAGTTGAACAAGAACACAAAGCAAGTCAATAATATGCATTGTATAAATGGAGATATTATATTGGAAAAACTGAACTTAATTCATAAACAGCTTTACTGAAATCTTAATATATAGAAACAATAGCCAAAATCACTATTTTAAGGTAAGTATGTAAAGTGTAAATTTAAATCAATCAATTACTAGTATCGTTTAAGAATTTGAAAACTATTTTCACTAAAATGCAAGGAATACTAAGGATAAAATGATGGAACCTTAGACTGAGTAGAGACTTTGTAGGTTACCTAAATCAGTCTGCTGCTTAGTACTGTCAATACAATCCCATTTAAGTTCTGGCTCATGAGACTGCATCATACTTCACTAAGGAGTTTCCAGAGGGGAAAGAACCACCGGGACTAGCTCCAGCACAAAGGACTGAGGGAGAACAAGAAGTCAAATTCTGGGAATGAGAGTAATAATATCAAGTCCAAAGAAAGGGACCATTCTGAATGGGAGCTGGAGCCAAGAGTGAGAAACTCGGCGTATTTTGAGCAGAAAAGAAAGACTCTCTGGCATTGGGTCAAAGAGGCTTTGTGACAGTGGTTCACATTTGTTACTCAATGGGCACATGGGCATCTCTGGATGTTTTGGGCTGGCTTAAGGAATCTCAAGTAAGAGTAGATGAATGTAGTGGTTTCCTTCATTACATCTTGAAAAATCATGCAGCTTCTGTTTTGACACTTCCAGTAACAAAACAATTTTTACTCCTTTCTTAGGAAGCTGTTTGTTACATTGACTCCAAATTTTCACTTTGACACTCCTTTTACCTGTGAAGAACTAAAAAAATATTTACTTATCATAAAATATAGCTGTTGATTCAACTAGATCAGGAAGCCTGGAAATTTGAAAAAGATGTATGAATATCTATCTGAAAGAGAGACATAAAATAAGAACACTTTAAAATATTAAATAGTAACATGTAATATTAAATATTAAATGTTCTCTAAATATTTCATTCAAAAGGATAAATATCTTGATTCTTCAGTAATCCCTAAAATGAAATCTATACTCATATTTTACTGCTTATATAAATTATCTTTGTATATACTTCAGTTTCTCTATCTATATATCATAAAGAAATGAAGATCATAGACTTGTACCTTAACAGAGGTAGTAGAATTATTACTTCTAATAAATTATGGCAGATATTATTAGGAGTCAGGCAACAAAACTGTCTCAGAATGAGCTAAAAGTTTATAATTATTATTTGTTTTTTTAAGATGGAGTCTTGCTCTGTAACCCAGGCTGGAGTGCAGTGGCACGATCTCCGCTCATTGAAACTGCTGCCTCCCGACTTCAAGTGATTCTCCTGCCTCAGCCTTTCAAGTAGCTGGGATTACAGGTACCTGCCACCATGCCCGCTTAATTTTCGTATTTTTAGTAGACATGGTATTTTGCCATGTTTTGATCTTCTGACTTCAAGTGATCTGCCCACCTCAGCCTCCCAGAGTGCTGGTATTATCATAGTCATGTATAATCATTAAGCTGTATTCACACACTGCTGCTGCTCAGCAAGCTAAGTTTCTCTCATCCTCTATATATGCTGCTGAACATTTGAGCATGTTGACTTCTCTTGAGTCAATATGTAAAAAGCACTTATGAATATTAGTTTGTCAAAAACCTAATAAAATTCAGAATTTTGATGTGGCTGTCAAGAAAGTTAATATGATGAAAATAATTGAGGACATTTTGTCTGGAGAAATAGAGAGGACAATTTGTCTTTAAATATTTAAAGATAAGTTAGATGAAGAGGAATTAAATTTTGCTTAGCATCAGGGGAGAAGCGTGGTAGTAGGATATTTGGGTTTAATAATATATCATGTTCTCTTACTTGCTTTGTACATTTAAACAGCACATGTCCTCTCTGAACTTTATTTTTCTGGTTTGCCAAATGGAAATTTAAAAAGATTCATACCTCAAAGCATTGATGAAATAATGTACTTGAAATTAACATAATGTAAGTGTGCATACTTGGGCATCACTTGACTTCTCTAAGCATGTCTTTCTCACCTGCCGAATATTTGTTCCTTCATTCATGTGTTTATCTAGTATCTTTCACCTGTTGAACAATGCTTCCTGTCTCCTCAAATCACAGAGACTACCATTTTCTCCTGTGTTTTCTTTCTTCGTGGAATAGCCTGGGACAAAGGCAGAAATCATACCTCCTGCTTCCCTTCAATGGGATAGTTTTATAACTTTTTCCTGGGTTACTAGTTTCTAAGAGTTGAGAGTAATTCTGCCAACTTTTAATCCTTCATGGGCAAAAGTGGAAGTCTCCGGTATTCTTTATTGATATATATGTATGTGTAAATGCATATTTAATGTATTTATTAATAAGTCCTTACCAAACGTGACAGTGTGCTGGCATAATTGATTGAATGTGAATAAGATGCAATTTCTTTTTTCCCAAAATATTAAAATCCCTGGAAGAGAAAACTTAAACAGGCAAATACAGTAATAAGTATAATATGATGCATTATATACCAACTGGGCTATGTCACATGTAAAATTATTTACAAAAAGAGTGCCACAGTATCACTTGATTGAAGATCTTGGAGAAGCCTCAGAAGGAAGTGATATATTTGATACAGATCTTGACACACAAAAAGGATTTTAACTGATGGAGAAGAGATGGGAAGTTTTCCATTAAGCCTTCCCCAATCTCTTCAGTCAGAATTTGCTACTCACTCTGCTGTATTTTGTTTTCAGATTTATCGTATCAATTATCTGTGATTGCTTTATAGTGTAACTGTGTAGGTGGATAACTTTATCACCTCTATAATAGCAGTCTTCTTCAAAGCAGGAGCTATAGTGTAAGTGATTCATCTTTACATCATTCTCCTTCAAATTTGAGTGTAAAGTCCTCTTGATCTAGTAATGCATCTTCTGCCTTCTTGCCAAATGCAACAAATCTGAGAAAGTAATATTTATGAAATGAGACAGAAACTGGGTGTTAAATTGAATTGGGGAGAAAGGATTGGGGGAGGATTGATAACATAAAATGTCACTAAATTGCAGGTCAAATCTCATCATAATATGCTTGAAGAAAATTGGCCAAATTTTCTGTATTGTATTGCATTGTGTTTTGTCATATTAAGAACTACTTGAAATAAGTAGATCAGTAATAGATTTTTCGTTTTTTTTTTTTTTTTTTCCCTAACCAAGGATGTCTAATGTTGTAGTATTTGTTTGAATGGGTTTTATTTGCACAAAACTTGGTTATTTATGTAAGATGTTTTCTGTAAACACAGACATAGGCTTATAATGACCTGAGAAGGTTTGAAATGAGGTAGGAGTTCCTTCTAGTATCCTGAAGGGAATTTGGAAGAGGAATAATCAGGAAAAGCATGCACACAACTATAGCCTTCAGTTTGTCTAAACTTTAAAGTTCAGGAAAATGTGACATAAATAAATAAAAAATTGGGGGAATTACAGATTATAGTCCTAATAGAGCAGAAAAATTATGTATTAGGCTTAAAATTATAACTCATCAAACATTACAATTAGTAAATATTTAGAAATTAGTGCACTTTAATAAAATGATGTATACAGTTTTGAACAATAGTCAATAATGTCATTAATATAGGGGTATTATAGCTTTTTTTTTGTTTTAGTGAGAAAAACTGTAGTAGGTTGAATAATGGCTACGTTGAAATATCAAGTCCTAATTTCTGGAAAGTGTAAACATCCCCCATTTTAAATTTATTTATATTACATTTTTTTTTACCATTTTGCATTTTTAAACGTTTTTATACATTTAACTTTTATAAAACTCTCATTATGAGTTTTATAAATTAAAGATAACGTGAACAGTTACAATTAAAATATTAAGATAAAAACTTAAACACTATTTAACATAAACATCAGTAATATTATAGACTTTTATTGTGAAGCTTTTGATATAGAGAGGGTCAGTTATTGTATCATGAGTATGTAGTTATCAGTATGAGATTGGATGAACTGAAGTTTAGATTGGGGAAGCCAAATGGCTTATAGATGTGATACGAAACTCTACAATGAGAAGCCTACCTTGGCCTTTTAAGGGCATATTCTCGAAAAGTTTTGTATATGTTTAATGTTATCAATCAATCATGTTTCAATTGTCTCATGGTTAAATCTGGGGTAAAATGTCAAATATATTGACTATTTAATTTTCTCTATATTGTTATTTGAAGTTTCATATAAAAATTTTAGGCATAATTAGGAACATAGATATTTGCATAGTTTTGATCTAAGTTTATGAGAATGTTAGTTTACCGAAATGGTACCATTTTAACCAGCAGTTCAGTAAGCACTTGTAAATTATGAAATGGCTGTCAATAAATTTGTTTTCTATGAAATATTTTATTAGAAATCACTTTTGTTCCATAGTCCAGGATTAGTTTGAGATATCCACTTGTGCACAGTTTAAAGGGTTCAAAAAGGACCTGAAGTCCTAGAGCTGATAATGCACAGGTTGATCTCCACAAGAGAAGAAGGTGGTTATGAAGAATAATGGTGCTGCTACAGCGTTAACTTTGTGTACTTAGCATGGGATACATTGTTTTAATCTTTTAACTGATTAAAACAATCTTTTGTGTTCATCTTTTTACTGTATCAGTTAAAAGTTTTCTTGTTAATTTTCTGTCTCATTGATCTGTCTAATACTGACAGTGGAGTGTTAATGTCTCCCACTATTATTGTGTGAGAGTCTAAGTCTCTTTGTATATTGTTAAGAACTTATTTTATGTACCTGGGTGCTCCTATATTGGGTGCCTATATATTTAGGGTCCTTAGTTCTTCTTGATGCATTGATCCTTTTACCATTATGTAATGCCCTTCTTTGCCTCTTTTGATCTTTGTTGCTTTAAAGTCCATCTGATCAGAGACTATGTTGCAACTCCTGCTTTTTTTTGTTCTCCATTTGGTTGATAAATCTTCCTCCATCCTTTTATTTTTAGCCTGTGTGTGTCCTTGTGCGTAAGATGGGTTTCCTGAATACAGCACACTGATGGGTTTTGACTTTTTATCCAATTTGTCAGTCTGTGTCTTTTGATTGGGGCATTTAGTCCATTTCATTTAAGGTTAATATTGTTATGTGTGAATTTGATCCTGCCATTTTGATGCTAGCTGGATGTTTTGCCCATTAGTTGACACATTTTCTTCATTGTGTCCATGCTCTTTACCATTTGGTACGTTTTTGGAGTGGCTGGTACTGGTTGCTCCTTTCCTTGTTTAGTACTCCTTTCAGGAGTTCTTGTAAGGCAGGACTGGTGGTGATGAAATCTCTCAGCAATTGCTTGTCCCTAAAGGATTTCCTTTATCCTTCGCTTATGAAGCTTAGTTTGGCTGGATATGAAATTCTAGGTTGAAAGTTCTTTTCTTTAAGGATGTTGAATATTGGCCACCACTCTCTTCTGGCTTGTAGGGTTTCTGTGGAGAGATCTGCTGTGAGTCTGATGGGCTTCCCTTTGCGGGTAACCTGATCTTTCTCTCTTGCTGCCCTTAGCATTTTTTCCTTCATTTCAACCCTGGTTAATCTGATGATTATGTGCCTTGGGGTTGCTCTTCTTGAGGAATATCTTTGTGGTGTTCTCTGTATTTCGTGGACTTGAATATTGGCTTGTCTTGCTGGTTGGGGAAGTTTTTCTGGGTAATATCCTGAAGAGTGTTTCCCAGCGTGGATTCATTCTCTCCATCACATTCAGGTACACCTATCAACTGTAGATTAGGTCTTTTCACATAATCCCATATTTCTTGGAGGCTTTTTTCATTTCTTTTAACCCTTTTTTCTCTGTTCTTGCCTTCTCATTTTGTTGCATTGAGTTGATCTTCAATCTCTGATATCCTTTTTTCTGCTTGGTTGATTCGGCTATTGAAACTTGTGTATGCTTCATGAAGATCTCGTGCTGTGTTTTTCAGCTCCATCAAGTTGTTTATATTCTTCGCTAAGCTGTTTATTCTAGTTAGCATCTCATCTAACCTTTTTACTAGGTTCTTAGTTTCTTTGCATTGGGTTAGCACATGTTCTTTTATCTCTGAGAAGTTTATTACCCACCTTCTGAAGCCTGTTTCTGTCAATTCATCAGATTCATTCTCCATTCAGCTTTGTTCCCTAGCTGGTGAGGAGTTGTGATCTCTTGGAGGAGGATAAGTGCTCTGTTTTTGGTGTTTTCATCCTTTTTGTGCTGGTTTCTTCCCATCTTAGTGGCTTTATCTACCTGTGGTCTTTGTAGTTGATGACTTTCAGATGGGGTCTCTGAGTGGATGTCCTTTTTGTTGATGTTGAAGCTATTTCTTTCTGATTCTTAGTTTTTCTTCTCACAGTCAGGCCCCTCTGCTGCAGGACCCCTGGAGGTCCACACCAGACCCTGCTCGCCTGGGGAATCACCCCCGGGGGCTGCAGAACAGCAAGGGTTACCGCCGGTTTCTTCCTCTGCTATCTTTGTCCCAGAAGGATACCCGCCAGATGTTGGCCTGAGCTCTCCTTTATAAGGTGTCTCTTTGGTATATGGCGGTTGGGTAGTTGCTTGAGGAAACAGTCTGTCCCTTATAGGAGCTCAAGTGCTGTGCTGGGAGCTCTGCTGTACTGTGCAGAGCTGCTGGGCAGATACCTTTAAGTCTGCTGCAGCTGAACTCATAACTGCCTCTTTTCCCAGGTCCTCTGTCCTAGGAAGGTCAGCTTTATTTATAAGTTCCTGTCCTGCTGCTGCCTTTTTTCGTAGATGCCTTGCTCTGCATGGAGTAGTCTAATCACAGTCTGCCAGCAGAGGAATTGCTAAGCTGCCGCAGGCTCTACCCAGCTGCTGTGTGAACTGCCTTGGTAGTGGTAGACTGCCTCAGTAGTGGGGGATGCCCTTCCCCCCACTGAGCTGGACCATCCTGGGTCCAGCTGCACTTGCTGCGAAACTCTCAATCCAGAGCGTTTCAGATTGCTTGTTTGTGGGGGTGGTACCCTCTGAGCCAGATTGCCTGGCTCCCTGTCTCAGCCCCCTCCCTTTCAGTTGAATGGGTGGCTCTGTCTCCCCGGCATTCCAGGCACTAGTCGAAACAGCCGCCCAGACTTGTGTGAGTTTCTGTGCGCCGACCCGACCTGGTACGGGCTGAAACCGCCACACTGAAAACTCGTGGTGCTTTTCGGCCCAGGAATCTCCTGGTCCGTGGGCAGTGAAAACTTGTTTGGAAATGCAGTGAGCACTCCCCCTCTGCGCTGTTCTCACTGGGAACTGCACTCTGGGTCTGTTCCTATTCAGCCATTTTGGATCCTCTTTCCAGCATTCTTAGAAGTTTATAGATAAAACAGGTTATTTAGAGAAATTAGATGACTAGCTTAAGGCCCCAGGAAGAATTAATCTTAAACCGCTCGGTTCCTCTCTCAGGGTTTGCAGGCGTGTGGGTCAAGAAGGGCCTTTACAGATGGAAGTGGGAAAACTTTATAGTGGGCAAAAGGGAAGCCTCCGGGTATGCCCCGATTGGAGGCTGTTGATCTGAGGAAGTTGTCTGCTAGCAATGGGGCATCCCATGTGATTGGTTTGGAGAACAGATTCAGCCCCTCTAGTTGGTCCCAAGTCGGAAGTGGGCACTCAAGTTAGGGAAACTGCCAGTTATTAATGAAGTCCTGGCCAATTTTCCAGATATTATTGTTTGCCTTCATGAATTGCTACTAGAGACAGCAGTCTGAGTATCTACAACTTGACTTCAGCAGGCTGGCTCACTGGGTTAATTATTGTACATAAGATGTTGGTTTAATATACAGGTTGCTGCAGGTTACAGGTTGGAGTTCTAGTTTTGTACAGGGTTTAGCTATTGTCCACTTGTATATGTGGATTCTCACTTTGCTGTCATAGTGATACATCCAAAACACAAATCGTACTGGTGACTTCCCTGCTTAAAATCTTTCAGTGGTTTCCTGTGTCCCCAGCATAAGTGCAAAGGCCCTGAGCAGGACACTAAAGATGCTCGATGTTCCCACTTTTTCCTGTGTTTGTGGTTTTATTCAAGATCACTGCTGGCAAAAGGTCGTGCTGATCCTAGAGCAATAACATCATTTGCATTTCCAGTGCATACACTAGACTGCTTGACAGCTCTGTTGATTGATGTCCTTGCAGGGAACACCCTCCACCCACTGCTTTGTTCTTCATCGCCTTCATTTCAGCCTGTTTAGCCACCATCCTCTCTGGAAGCCTGCAGTGAAGGTGTTCAGCTCTTCATCTGTGCTCTCAGAACACCACGTGCCAACTTCTGCCCCAGGACTCAGAGCATCACATTCCAATTCCATCTTCATGTATGTCTGTCTCCCATTCCAGACTGTAAGCTTCCCAACGGCAACATCTGTTTTATTTGTCCTCTTCCCTGGCACTTTGAACAGGTCCTGGCACATATTTAATGTAGTGTGCTGAATCAGAGTGATGGGGGATTAGGACCAACATATTCCAACTTCTGTTTGAGAGTTCTTTCTAGTAAGAAACATCTTATGAAAATGTGACATTAAAAATAAATGCTGCAAAGTAATTTCGAGTGGTCCAATGGAACCAAATATGATTAAGGCATTTTCAGTCTGTCCTCCATGGCATTTCAGAAAATGTCTCTGTCCTAAGCTTAAGTGTGATGAGCAGTCTGCAACAGCTATTGGAAGGCAAATCCTGTTCTTTGCCTGACAATCAAAACTGGATAAATGAGCTCTTCTTGAAGCATTTGTTTGTGTACTGGAATGTAAATATCTGCCACTTTTCTCATTAAGACTTCCGTAAGAGAACTCCAACACCCTGAGCAAAGATCCAACCTTAAGATAAAGAGAAACAGCAAATCTTAAAAACAAAAGTGGTAAAAATGGCCCCTAGATTGATGGCATACTTTTGAAGTGGTACCTTTCTGCCAAGGCCGCTATCTGTAGGGAATGTGAAGGTTCTTCTTGAAGACCAGGGGAACGTCACTAGGACCGTTGTCTTGTAGAACTGCCTCCTGCTTTCCCTCCTCCCTAACTCTAGATGAGTGCTCTCTCCTTATGTGATATTAAGGATTTTTAAGATATGTAATATGTAAGAATTTTAAGCTAAGTAATAATAAGGATTTTTAATATGGGGCAATAGTCGTGTGGGAAAGGATTGGATAGTCCTTTTATGGGGGAATGTGCTGTAATTGAGTGAAGAGAGTTTACTTCATGCTTATATACAATTATATACATGTGGGGAGCTTTTGGATGTGGTTTTGTGGGAAAATGTAGTGTGTACAAATAAGCATTTGTAGTACCTTAGGGTGTTCCAACCTTCATATTCTCCCTTCTCATCCTAGCAATTATTCCTATACTTCACATACCTAAACAACAAAATATAACATTCCAACCCTTAAGTCAATGCTTATTCTGAGTCCTAGTAGCTGACCTATTTATACTCACATGAATTGGAGGTCAACCAGTTGAATACCCTTTATTATCATGGGACAGACCGCATCTATTAAATATTTCTCCGTCATCCTCATCCTGTACCACTCACTACCCTTACTAATTGTAAAGGCAGTTATAATTGTTCTGTAAACTACTCTTTTCATTTCCCTTCTTGCCTCACCAATCCAAAGATTGGTGCTTCCTAAGGTGTACTTTTGATCTTGTCATTCACCTGCTCAAAATATCACAGTTTCTAAATGCCCAACCTATAGGCATGCGTCCAAGATCATCTGTTCTTAGTCCACGACTTGTCTTTCTATTTCTAGTTTACTATACAGTCTTTGAGTTATACTCCAGCAATTTCAGAATATATCTTGCATGGTCCCACGTCCATAAATTTCTTCACTTGAAATTTTCTACATGTCCATAATGGTTTTGCTGATCTTTTTATCTCAGTTTTCTAGACTCACCTGAAAAGGCTGGGGAGGAAGAATTTATTAAGTATACAGATTCCTTGGTCTGATGGCAGCTTATTACTTCTACCAGAAGTGTGCTTAAGGAAGCAAAATTTTGGGGGAACATTTTTGGGGGTGAAAATGGCTAAAGAATCAGTCTTCAAGTGGTATCAGTCAGTATATTATGAAAATTGTTTTACTTGGGTTGAATGACACAGATTAATAAAAATAGCAGACTCTCCTAGTGACATTTTATTCATACGTCATAGAAGAGGACAGCAATCAGTGACCCAGATCAGACATTATTATGATCTTCATTTGGATTTGGTGGGCTTTAAGAAGATTGATGGCAGCATCCAAATCTATAATATAGATTTTGCGTGCATCTAGATGCTGCATTAGTAAGAAGCACCCAAAGGGATTACTCTTTAGACTAAATTTTAACGAGTCCTTGTGAGAAATAATCCAGTATCTTTCATAACACTTTTGTAGTTGGTAAAACTTTATACCTGGGTAATTATGTTTTCCAGTGGATTATCAGCACAACAAAAGGCCCTGCATTACTTATTATTTTGTATTTATTTATTTATTTTCTTTAGAGAAGGGTTTTGCTTTGTCACCTAGGCTGGAGTGCAGTGGCGTGATCATAGCTCTCTCCAGCCTCAAACTCCTGGTCTCAAGTGATCCTCCTGCCTCAGCCTCCCAAAGTGTTGAAATTATAGGCATGAGTCACCACACCTGAATTTCAGGCCATATATTATTTCCCTTGAATCGCCATAGAACCTAGCAGTGTTCCTTTTAGACCAGAAAGAAACCCCTAAATGTTAAATTCTTGAACTATGGCAATATGAGGGAATACAGGTTGTTTGATATTGTTACAGAGTGATAATTTGGAGGTAATAACAGGGTATTTTAATGCAATTTTATTCAATTTAGAAGATACATCCCCCCCAAAAATTTAACTGCCCTATGATTCATAGTCTTAACTAGAAAAATAAAATTTAGTATTAGCAGGCATGTTAAACTTGCAATATAACAGAATGTGCGTTGAAATAATTTGACTCGAAAGACTCTGTACTTTATGAATTTTCAGTAGTTGAGGTGACAGATATTTGTCTAAAATTTGTCATATTGGTAGTTGCACAAGAATATTCTCAGTCCAAGCTTAAAAGCATGTGTCATCCTGGAACCTGGATAAATACCAACAATATGCAGGTGCGATGAAAGAAGGAACCAAAATGGCATAGACAGTTTTGAAGTAACAGACATTCTTGCTTCAGACACTTACTAACTGGGCGTAAAACCAGGCTGAATTGTCTTAAGGAATGTATATTAATTGTGGTTTGAAACCTGGCTTTGTCAATGGTGTGTCTTTTCTTTTTTAAATGCAGGTGCCTATTTAAATAATTTATAGATGACCTTAATTAGTCATGGATTGTTTAGTGGAGATCCTTGTTAAATTTGTAAAACAGATAGATCTACAGAGAACTGTTTTTGGTAGATCAAAGGCAATCTGCAAAGTTTTGGTGAAAGAATGAATTGAAACTACAGTGGGTGTTCCACAACAGGGAACACTCAATTAGCTGCATAGATTTTCCTGGTGTTGGGTGTTTTGATTTGAAGCCTCATTACTTCCGCTGTGTCATTAGGTAGCAAATTTACTTCATCCAAATTGAATTAATCCATTATCTAATTAATACTCATACAATATTTTTAACAGTTGAGGGAAATTGGGGTGGAGGGGGGAGGATGACAGATGTGGATGTGCCATAATTGGTAGTGTACCAATTAAGCCAATCAGATATGACAAATTGGATTAAAAGCTAGCAGATCCAGGGATGTGTTTTGCCTTTCTTTTTCCTCCCCTGCAGCTGTAATGCAAAGTGAAAAGAATATTCAGTGTGTACAAATAAACCTTTGGATTAGTCATGACTGTTTCATGCTGTACTGTACAGTTGAGCAACATCTTTAGGATGTGACATTAACTGGGAGGGAAAGAACATGTTGTTTGTTCTACCAAGGGATAGTCTAACTTGTTACTGTATGTGGCTCCTACATGTTGTTTCATGACATACGACTTGTCCTACGACACCATGGTGTATTAGGAATGTTCCGGATTCTAAATTTGGTGAATCCTTATATAAATGGTGATCTAAACTGGAGAAAAATGACAATTTAGTTTTAGGTAGACAGAGATGAAGAGCATGAATCTCAAAAGTTGCTCTTACGTCACCAAGTGTAAAGACACCGACGGGGGATTGTGACAAGAGCTTCTGTCTGTCCGTCTCGCACATGCAGCAGGCACGGCCACTTGACAGCAGCCACATTTTCCACCAGAGATTGATATCACTTTACAGATCTTCCACACACAGATTTCCAGGGAGCCACTACCCATTGATTGGACCCAACCTATTTTCCATTGTGAATTTACTATCAATTTTATATTACATTAGACCAACCTATCAAAAATTACTCTGTATCTTCTACCATCTCTTGCCTTCATCAATACACTAGGTATTACAGATGGTGAGTGAGTAACTCTAGAAGTCATAAATAAGTGAGAATGAACCATACAAATTTTATGATTGTAATAGGAAGGGAGAAGACAAACTTCAAAGAGCTAATGTCACTCCAAGCTTCTTTTTTTTTTCTTTTCTTTCTTTTTTTCTTTTTTTTTTTTTTTTTGAGACTGAGTCTCTCTCTGTCTCCCAGGCTGGAGTGCAATGGCATGATTTTGACTCACTGAAGCCTCTGCCTCCTGGGTTCCAGCGATTTTTTTGCCTCAGCCTCCTGAGTAGCTATGACTACAGGTGCACATCATCACACCTGGCTCAGTTTTGTGTTTTTAATAGAGATGGGATTTCACTACATTGGCCATGATGGTCTCAAACTCCTGACCTCAAGTGATCCACCCAACTTGGCCTCCCAAAGTACTGGAATTACAGGTGTGAGTCACCACACCTAGCCAAAGCCTCATTTCTTGAATAAAATCTTAGCTTCTAAATTGTTTTGTCTTCAAATTCCACACATCAGACATTGAGGGTAGGTGGCATGTATGCATATGAGTGTGAAAGGTAAGATTACAATCGTGTAGTCTGTGTACACTCAGGCCTGCAACAGTTGAGTAATAGTCACTAAATTAGAACCAAACAATGGTTCTCACTGTCTTTCCCTAAATCTTCATTTGTGCCGCTAGCAGTTATGGGCTAAATGATGAAAAGGTATGTGATATTCATATTTCATATTCTGGCATCATAATGTCTCCTGCCCTCTCCGTTCCCATCCTGAGCTTTAAGTCAGCCAGTACCAATCTGGGTCTCCCAGCTACTGGGTTTCCAATAGCAATGAGATCTCAAGAGTCCTGCTTTATCTGTGGCTCACATCCCAACCTATGTCCCCTTGCCAAGTTTCTTACTCTCTCTCTACCTGCTCTAGTTGCCCTTGTTGACCTCCTGTCTCTTGTGTCCTGCACATAAGATGCTGAATCTCTGGCACTGATGACAGTTCCTTTCTTAGGTCACATTTTCTCTTTGACCTTCAGTTTGTGCCTGCTTTTGATGTCACCATGTGTAGCACAACTGGAGTTTCCTGGCTTCCCTTTACCTGGCCAGTGTTCCCCCTGAATTTGCCTTTTATCTCACAAAAGTTTTTCTTGTAACCATAAGAGTTTTTCTTTTCTTCCCTTTGTGCAAAGGAAAAAACCGGTCACTTCTCAGATCCCAGCTCCTCTTTTCCTGGTGCCCTCATTTGACAAAGTGACATCTAGTTATTGGAAAGTGGCAATTCCTGTTACTCCATGAATAATGTAAATAGGCTAATTTGAGGGGTACAGCCCCATTTCCTGTTTAGAACTTACTAGAGAGGCACATGCTTTTTGAAAATTGCTTTCAGAGAAAAATCTTCCAGACCAAACTTGCCCAATCCGTAGCATGCAGGTTACATGTGACCCAGCACACCTTTGAATGCAGCCTAACACAAATTCCTAAACTTTCTTAAAACATTATGATTTTTTTTGTGTGTGAATATTTTTTAGCTCATCAGAGATCATTAGTGTTAATTTTATGTGTGGCCCAAGACTATTCTTCTTCCAGTGTATCCCAGAGAAGTCAAAAGATTGGTTACTCCTGTTCTAGATTTTTATTAAGCTAAAGTTCATAGGTTTCCTTAGTTATTCAGGTTTCCTAAGTTTCTCACCCTAGTGTTATTTTTGTCTCCCAGGATTTGATCCTGGAAATTACATTTCATCAATCGTCCTATCTCCCTAGGCTCTTCTCATCTGTGGCAGTTTTCCAGAGTTTCCTTGTTTTTTGATGACTTTGCCAGTTTTGGGCAGTCGGGGTCAAGTATTTTGTAGTGTCTCTTAATTGAGATTTTCCTAATGTTTATCTCATGATGGGACTGAATTCTGAGTTTTGAGAAAGATCACAGATGTAAGTTCTGTTTTCTTCATATCATGTCAAGGGAACATACCATCAACATGGTTTTCCACTGTTGTTGTTAGTCCTGGTCACCTGGCCACAGGAGTGTTTGTGAGGTTTCCCCACTGTAAAGTTATTCCTCCTTTTTAGCAGTGTTTGGGATTCTGGCATAAGTCATAGATGTCGGCCTCCTTTGTATTGTCTTCCAGGCTTTTGGTATTAGTCCCTATGAACTGGGCAATCACATCATGCTTAAAACAGTTCTGCTGTCTAAGAACTTCTTACTTCTTCCTTTTTTTGGGGGAAACAAAAACTTCTTTGGGTTTTTGTTTATTTTTATTTATACTTTTAGTAGATGCCAGGTAAGGAAGGAAAATAACTGTGATCCTTGTGGTGAAACTCTTCTGCATCTTGGCTGTAATGGTGGTTACATAAATGTATACATGTCATAAAATCACATAGAATAAATCATACACACACACATACAAATGTATGTAAAACTGATGAGATCTGAACACAGTCAATAGATTGTCAATATCAGTTTTCTGCTTGTGACATTATACTATAGTTACGTAAAATATTACCACTGGGGAAAGCTGAGTGAAGGATGAATCTGTATTATTTCTTACAAACTGCAGGTGAATCTACAATTATCACAAAATAAGAAGCTTAAAAAGACTAAATTATCAAATATAATTTAAAATATCTGTGTAGTTCTTTTTGTCTTTTGAATGCATCTCACAAAGCCTATATTTATAGTCAAAAATATGTATTTTAAAGTCACTTGAAAGAAAATCTGTGGACTTTTATTACTAATGCAATATTCAGTTAGAGTTATTGCCCACTTAATTTGTTTTCAATATCAGAGATTTCTTACTAAATAATCGGTAATGTATTTACATGATTCAAAAGTTAACAATAATATAAAGAGACTCCTAGAAAATCTTGCTTCTTTTAGTGCCTCTTCCTTTGTTTTTCCCCACAACCGTTTATAGGTAAATATTTTCTTATGTCATACTTACCTTTCCATAGTTTGTTTGTAAGAACAAATAACTGCCTTATTTTACTAAAGAAATCAACATACAATATATGCTATGATGCATTTTGCACTTTTCTTCAGTATATTTTAGAATAACAATATATTCTCTCTTTATCATAATACACAGAGAACATCCTTATTCTTTTTAAAAACTATATTATCTTTGACTGCAGGGATGTACCATAGTTTACTCAGTTTTCTTTTGCTGAACGTTGAGCTAACAGATGATACCACAATGAATAACCTGGTACATATGAAGTTTCTTACTTATTCAGGAATATCTGTAGTGTGCATTTCTAGAAGTTTGATTGTCAGGTTTAAAAATTTAAAAATTTGTAATGTTATTAGGTACTGTCAAATTTTCCTCCATAGGTATCAAACCATTTTCCACTTCTTCCAGAAATTGCAAGTGTCTCTTCAACGGCATTATTTTCAGACTTCTGTATTTTCCCCAATTTGATAGCTAGGAAATGGTTATTACCATAGTTAATTTTTGTTCATTTTATTATGAGGGAGGTTGCACATCTTCACAAATGTTTAAATGCTATTTGTAATCTGTTTTATGTGTGATTTGTCTTTTTATATCCTTTGTCTATTTTTTTCCTGTTGTGTTGTTCTTCTGTTTCTCCTCAATTTCTAGAAGTTTCGAATGTATATATTACATATAAATATATACTATATGTAATCAATATGTCTTTTAAATACATATCTGTGTATTGTATTATTTATTTATTATATATTTTATAAATACATATGTATTTATCATATATTATGTAATATGTATGAATATATTACATGCAATTCATATATAATGCATATGCATAACTTACATATTATATAGCATAATATATGTTAATAGAATATATATATAGGCAACTCTTAGAAATTTAAATATGTATACATATATGTAGTCATATTTTGGAGTGTCTTCACCGAAGATTACTTCTTTGGGTTTTTAAACTGACATCCTGTGGCTCAAAAGGAGATAGAGTGAGGATTGGCCAAATCAAATGCTCCATTTTTAACTGTTCCCAAACTAGAAGATGAACACAATGAATACACATATTATGATTGGACCACAAAGGTTAACACAATCAGTTCCAGATATTGATCTGAAAGCTCAGAATAACAAACACATTCCATTAGGAATCATAAAACATTCCATTAGGTAATAAATGAACCCACTACAATGCCTGGTGACATAGTAGATAATTAATTTTATTGAAATCATTAATGATATTTGGAATGTTTTATTTATTTAAGAACATATTACTGATTGACTAAAATATGTTAGCTATGTTAATCTGAGTTCCGTGTGTCTCAATTATGAGTGCTTTTTACCTTGTATTAACTACATCAGTTCCTCCAGGTAAAAACCTAACAATTGTTGTTGTTGACATGATTGCAACTATGTAAAAAAGGTACATACAGCAAAGTCTTCTATGAAATACACCAGAATGGTTGTCACTTTTCTAGATGCCAAAATAATAGATGATTCTCAACTTCATTCTTCTTTTATATATTGTCACATTTTCCACAACAAATTTTACTACACTGTTAACAGTTAAACATGCTTTATTTTTTTAAACATGCAAATGCTTCCACTGCTGATACATGTAGGCGGTTGGCCATATATAGGCATTTATTCCATATTTTGACAGTCGTTCCATATTTTGGTCCCTTTGCAATGGAAGCTATAAAACTTCTTACTGGGGAAGTTTAGGTAGATAACAAAAACTGACTTTGTCCCTGGTGCAATAGATTTATTAAAAACAAGCAATACAAGGATATGATTATATATCTTAGTTTCTGATAGCTATTCCTGATATGAAAATAGCTGAAAAGAGATCCCAGAGCAGCTAGGGATTCTTCTGTAATAAACTATGGCTGTCAAGATCAGAGCAAATTCATCCATTCTCTGCAGAGTAACTTTTATTAATTACATGAGCATTGTTTTCTTCCTGGCGAGTTATTTAAGTGAGCATTTTCCCCCACCACTGTCATTAGGATGTGGCCAGGCACACTTGCACTTGGAGTAGTGTGCTTTGAGTCTTTTATTTCTGACTAAATTGCTAAAAGTCAGAGATTGTGTGGAAATGGACTTTGGTACCAACCTGCATGAAGCAAGATGTTCTCCGAGTGCACCAAGGTTTTCCTTTGAAGTCTGTTAAAGGGAAAGTTTTGCTTTCTGACAACATAGAAATTATTCTTCTAGACTGTGCTTTGAGTTTATCAATTTGTGGAGGTCATATCCAGAGCAGAACTACAAAGAATTGCATTTGGCAAGCACTGAAGACCATTGACATGTAGAAACACTCTATGCTGAGATAATCTAGGGTACAGGGGAAAGGGTATTTTTAAAAAAGGGGAGAATCAAGGGCATGATAAACTTTACTGCACTAAATGTGTACTTTACTTTTATTCTTCAATGTATACACCAAAATATTAAATTATAAAAATATTCATAACCCTCTCATTTGCAAGACTTTCTATTGCTGTTGATGGTGCTGATGACGTGATGATTGTATTTTTCTTGAGCACTATGCATCCCCGTAATTCTTTGAACCTTTTCATACTTCATACTTCAGACCACATAATATTAGGGGTTAAAATTAAGCCAAATTAACGAGAACTCTTATAATTTTGACACTTATTTTCACTAGAACTTGCTGAGTCTCCAAGCTTTGTGCAATATCTGCATTTATCTTTGTGAGTCCCCAGGGCAAGCTTTAAGGATACTCATGGACAGATCTGATGAAGTTCCCAGTGTAATCATGAATTAATTCTCCTATCATGGCCCTAGGCCTGCTTTTTCTGACACCACAACCAACGCCACTAAAGACACATCAAATTTTGGAGAGAGTGTCAAAACAGCACAGTCTTGGTCTCGATACCCACCTCTTGAAGATGAAGCTGAACTGGGTGATGAGAAGGCTGCCTTTATTACTGATTTGTTTGACATGTTTATACATAGGCCTGTACCCTGAAGTCTCATAAGAGGAACATGCTTCTTGATTTAGATTTTTTAGCCCATTTTTCTCACTAGAGTTTAGAAAGCAGCTCCTGGAGTTTGGCATAAGGAGATGACCGATTTCTGAGACTGACCTGGGCTGCATTATCTGCTTTCATCCCATCCAGTGATCAAGCCCCTTCCATCCGAGTCTCACTTCCTTCTTTAGGTTTAGCTTACTATTCTCTAGGGGTCCATCATCAAATGCTTTGACAGGCAGTAGATCTCTTTCTAAGTTCTTCTATATTGTAGCATGAGTTATATGTCAGAAAGCATGGCCTTATTCTTACCTATACTAATTATTAACTTCCATGAGCCTACACAGTTTCTTATATCTGAATTTCTCTTTTCTCATTTGTCAAAAAGGGCAGAAATACCTCCCCAAGAGAGGTATAAAAATGACATGATGTAACATATGCAACATTTAAAATGTCTTTCTACTGTTATAGACTCTAATAAGGCAATGCATTAGCACTGGGTAGCTTAGAGCTGAGAATCTTCTGGAGGAAAGCTGGGAAAATAGTAAGTTCTCTAGCCAAATAATGGAAAGGATTAGGTTCTCCATATTTCTCTCTACTCCAGAAAATTCCCTTCTGGAGGAAAAAGTGAATTTAGGTAGGAACAATGATAGTAGTTTTGAGAAAAGGGAAAGTGATCACCCATAATGCAACCAAGAACATGATATCAACCTCACGTCTGTGGAAATTCTGGCAATTAAAATTCAAAGCATTTTATGAATTATGCCAGGTGAGCGAGTCTCTAGAGGCTTCAAGATTTTACAGCCTAGAAAGGTGGGAAAATATCACTGGCAGCAGCAGAGGTGAAAGAGAATTTACAATGAATCATCTAGAAGGTCTCAACGTCTATATACGGTCTTGGATTTGAGATATTTCCAGGACTGCTGAGAAAGGGAAATGTCTCCTCAAATCAAATATATCAACAGAGTAGCTACCTGAGAGCATCATAACAGGTTGCATGCATTATGGTGTTATCATGATCTCATCTCTATTGTAAGACAGAAGGAAACATATCTTAATTATCTTGGTTTATCTCAAAGTATGAGCTCATAGCCTTGTACATGATAAGCTATAATAATTTTATAATTAATTTTATAACTGTTGAAATAAACATGCAAAGACTAAATTTGCCTTTAAAAAGTTATTTGACTATTGTGTATCTGACTATGACAATTCCACATAGTTCTTTTGGCAGCTTTCCATTGTCCCAGCAGCTACTTCCAAACTGGCAGCCTGCTGCATCTGAAACTCACAGGGAGTGGGGCTCTTTGGCACAGAGGAAATAGACAATGTTTTGATTGCTCTATGAATGGAGTAGAGTTGCCCTGTGATGTGATTTCTTCACTATGAATATGCTGGTGACCTTGGCTGAATTATGCTACGATGTGTTCCTTACACATTTCTTTCTCCTGGCTTTTGTGCAATTACCTTCATTCAGTTCACCAAGGTGGCTTCTCCTGTATTAAGGTTTTATCTTATTTTTTTCCATGTTTAGTCGCATATAGCCAGAGACCAATAAACATGTCCTTCATTCTCAGAAACTGATGGCAATTCAGAACCTCATTTACAGAGGGCTTTGTCCTGCCACTTTCTGTTAAATGGAACTGGTAGAAATGCAGGGGAAAGTTGGCCTGACTCTGGCTTTGACTCTGCATTTTCAGAGCTCACATGCTGTTGGAAAGAATAATCATTAAATAGGTCAGGCAAGCTCAGGATTTCAATTTGGAGAGTTTCACTGAATTTGAATTAGTTCTAAGGTTGTGAGAAAAAGGGTTTGCTCTGCTATTCCATACCAGCAATATAAGTCTGAGAAGATGGTGGCAGGCTGTTGGGGAAGAATCCTAATGGGATCCTATTGATGAAAGAAAATGTTCAATCCTTAAGTATGCCATATAAAGATCTTCCTCTTTTAAAAATCCATGGAAGGGTCATAGTTTAGAAAAATACTTGCAGAGAAGCAAATTATAAGTAGTCAATTCATCAACATTTTGTACAGTGCCTACTTAGAACAAAGACAATGCCAACTTTCAACAAATTTTTATTCATGAATGCTTGCTGTATCCAGTCTGTTCTTACTGAAATGTGATGTTAAATGGAGACAAATTAGATTACTGATAGTCAAGAATCCCTGAAATGCTGTCTCACCTCTTGAAGGTCAGTTTTTGTAGGTATAAAATGGGATAATAATTCTTACTTCGGTTGTTAAATGAGACTTTTCCTATTGCCTTGGAGTTTCAGCAAAAGTTGCAAAGCTGAAGATATGATTGTTGATATCTAGGTGATAACTAGGTGGTAGTTGAATCCTTCCTTATTCTAAAGATTAAGCTGAGCAGGAGCCTAGAAGCCTCTCCAGTGTTTACTCTGACCCTCCACCTCCCATCTCAATAGAACAAGAGAGAAGACTAGAGAATTTGGAAACGTGTCTAGGAGGTCAACCCAGTTGAAGTACTGGGGCAATTTCTCTCCTCCCACTGTCAGGGAGTAGAGAGCGTGATCCCCAGGCCAGTTAGTTGGAGGGACTTTAAGAGGATATTCACAGAGATGTCCTGGCTGGAGGTATTTTAAGTTGTGGAAAATCATGGTGAGGTGAAGGTGAAAGGTTTCTGAGAAGGCCTTTATTTGTTCCCTTAAAAGTGAGGCCCATAGAGGATGCAGAGACTCTTTGCCTGAAGAATGCTGGAGGTGAGAGGCATGGAGAAAGAGGAGAAAAGGATCAGGGTGGGGCTGGCCCTTCTCCCCATTTGACAAGAATACATACATTTTCTGTGAGGCAGAAAGATGCTGTTAAATTCAGTCAGTCCTGAGGCAGGGAGATTTTGGCAATAAGGGGAGAGTTGGATGTGAAACTGCCATTGGTGGCAGGGAAGCCTGCAGAGGCCAGACAGAGTCCCGTTTGGGACTGTTTTGGGAAACTGCAATGTAAAAGACTGTGTGTGTGTGTGTGTGTGTGTGTGTGTGTGTGTGTGACTGTGTGTGTTTGGGACCGCCTCCTGAAGAAACCCACCTGTCCTCTGACAAGCATCCTTTCATTCATGAGTACTGATAAGTGAATACATCAGTGTCCAAAAGTTTTTGTGATTTTCTTCTAATTTGCAACACATGCTGTTCACTCTACACCCCTCCTCAAGTGCAGGCGCACCGCCACTGGTCAGTACCTCAAAGTCATGAGCATCAAGACTGAATGTAAAACACACCAGTGCATAATGAGGGCTCAGAAAGGAAAGCTCTTATGAACACAATAACAACGACTCTGTGAAAGAAGGTTGTGTTACAATAAAAAGTCATCCTATTTCCGTATTACTCTGATAGAAACATTTTTGAAAAATCCATCAAGTAGTGTTTAATAGAGTACACACCTTATTCTTGACTTAAATAATAAAACTAAAACTATTACTCTGAAAAAATTTTCCCAAAGTATTATTAAATAAGTACTTTAATTTAATAAATGATTAAAATCATAGAAACAGGCTGGGCGCGGTGGCTCACGCCTGTAATCCCAGCACTTTGGGAGGCCAAGGCGGGTGGATCACGAGGTCACGAGTTCGAGACCAGCCTGACTAACATAGTGAAACCTTGTCTCCACTAAAAGTACAAAAAAATTAGCTGGGCTTGGTGGCATATGCCTGTAATCCCAGCTATTTGGGAGGCTGAGGCAGGGGAATCACTTGAACCTGGGAAGCAAAGGTTGCAGTGAGCCAAGATTGTGCCACTGCACAGGCAGGAGAATCACTTGAACCTGGGAGGTGGAAGTTGCAGTGAGCTGAGATCATGCCGCTGCACTCCAGCCTGGGTGACAGAGCAAGACTCTGTCTCAAAATAAAATAAAATAAAATAAAATAAAATAAAATAAAATAAAATAAAAATCATAGAAACAAAAATACAAATAAACAAGTTGTAAATTTTTATTATTTTAAATCATTTCAGTTTATTTTCAGTTCAGGTTCATTAGCACTAAAATTTAAAGGAAAAATATGGGCTAGAAAATAGGGAAATAAAAAATCACTTATCTGCCATTATATCTTCCTAATTATTTTTGTTTGTTTTTCACACCCCCTTTTCCAATATTTTTCAAGCTACATTTTCATGATGATATATTCATTTATTCAAATACCAAGAGATTTTTCAGTGTGTGTTGTCATTTGTGTTTGTGCTACACCAAAGGAGTATGGAGAGAGAAAGATGCAGAGATGGTCAGACAGCAATAGAAAAATACAGCCAGGGATTACTCGAAAAAATGCAGAACTCCACAACACAGTGGGTAACACTTTTAATTAAATTTATAGACGAACTGATAATACAATTGGTAATTTCACTTTTGTTTTCTTTTAAATCGCCTTTAATTCTTAAAAATAAGATATCAGTAGTATGATTTTCTACTCTGAGTTACAGTTGTTCAGATTCAAGCTTAGGACATTGTTGTTTCTGAGGCATCTGCCACAGAAAAATACGTAGGACATATATTCTAAACCTTTGTAATAATCTCCACAAAGATGAATCTGATGAGTTACAAACAGCTGGAACTTACATGGGCCTGTGGGCCCTTTGTTCAAACAGCTAATCATTTTTTCCTGGTGGTATCAAGTGATAAGGGTAGAAATCATTCAATTTCTTGACACTAGGTCAAGAGAGGCAGGGTTATTTCTTTAAGCCTGTAGAGATCTGCTTTGAAAAGAATGGAGTGGTATGTAGCACTTTTCAATGCCAAATGGCCTATTTAAGATTTTTATCAGAGATTCTTACTTCTAGTAATGTCAAATTCGAATATTCTGATCAAACCTTCAAAGAAAATGCCTGAAACTCCTTAGACATAGTAAAGAGCTGGCAAGAAAGTGACGAGCTCCCTGGCCAACATCTAAGAGGAAATAAGAGAGTGTGCACCAGAGCACCGAAGGGATAGAGCCACTTTAGCCCTGAGGGTATTTGTGGAGCTCAGTGATTTGGGGCCCATGGACTCACCAGGAGAGGAGTCAAATGGGGGAATGCTCTGCATTAATCTCAGATCCCAAAAGGTATCCCTGTCAGAGGAGAAGTGAATTAGATTTACAACTCCACCTCACTACCACAGGGAACAGCAGGGAAATGGCTGTTTTGTGTCTTAGGTTGAGTTTCATACAGCTGACTTTAGAGACTGTATTAGTCAGCAATCCAAGAGAAGCAGAACCAATGA